AGGGAGCAAAGGGCAGAAGAAGAAAGGAGAAGAAGTTGGGGGTATTGGTACCAGAAGAATATTAAGTTCTGGTAGCATATACAGGAATGTAGGATATAAAAAGGGGCGGACGCTGGGCACAGCATATGTATAAGAATGTGTACAATATGAGATATGATACGAGAAAATGGCTTGTGTGAATTATTTGGAGGATTTGACATATCCAACCGTTTCCAAAGAACTATTCATCGATAGCACTATGGACATTTCAAGACACAACCTTGTTGAAAAAACGGCATCAGCCTCGATAAGAAGAGCATGCATGAGTACTAGATATTACCGCTCATACGTTCTCTCCTGTTCGTCATTACAGAACTCCTGACCCGCAGCGTGGCACCACATTCTGTACTATCAACATTCTTTAGCCCGCAGTCTCTTCCAGCCCTAGCCAAGTTGGATTATACCACCGAACCGCCGGGTAACCAAGAAAGTGGGCGCAGAATATAGGCCCAGGAAACCACTCTTACAGCAACGACGTGTGTAAGTAATTAATGCGACACTCGGCCCGCATTGCAAATTGGCAGCCCAGTGCAGAGCGATTATTGCACGGCATGAGCCTCGCTGTGGAGCAAAAGCTCCAGAAGGTTGGCAACAATGCAGATCCTGCCATGGAAGTCGACTTCTCCGCCAATACGTGAAGGTGCCACTGAAAACTCATCTGCTAATCGTTTGATATCCGACCAACGTTTGATATTTAGCACGCTTCGCGCCATATTCTCACAATTACCAACTTCTCCCAGCCTGCTTTCTTGCCGCTCGATCCAACAGTCTCTGCCATCCATCCTGCCCCCCATTCTCTTATCCGCTGCTTAACTACTTCGGGCTTGTTTTGTGCACACAGCAGTAGGTAGGCAACTCCTCTATCCGCGCTCAGTATATCCGGAATCTGCTCAAGCATCCTGTTCGTTACCACCATGCCATCTTCACCTCCGGCGTAGGATAGCTCCAAAAGGTACGAATCTTGCTCAAATGAGGTAGCTTTCTTCCCCTCTGGGATCACATTGTACTTCTCGTGACTCGACAGATCAGGCAGCTCAGCAGGTACGTATGGCGGGTTGAAGATGAAGACATCGACAGTACCTGGACGAATTGCATTCGCCAAATCGCCATTTACGATATCCATGAAAATCGAGCGTTCCTTTTCTCTTTCTTGGATTGCATTTTGAACAGTGTGCGCAGCAGCGTTGCAGGCGAAGCTGTTGATATCAACACCAAGCGTCAGTGCGTCATGCCGACCAAAAATAGTTTGCGCATTCGCAGCAACAAATGCCAGTACAACTCCTGATCCTACGCCCACTTCGAGCACAGACTTAGCGACAGGGTAATGCTGGGTACTGTTGGTATGACAATACCTTCGAGCACCAGCGGCGGGGTTGAAGACGCATCACCAAATCGATCCTTTAGATATGTGGTTTCTGATGCAGATGAAATTGTGTCAAGCAGCAAATATGAGTCTTCAGCCGGTTCGTAGACGCGATCGAAACAAACGTGCGATGTCGAGGGCGTGGGTAGCATGGTTGTGATTTTGTTTCCAGATCGGAGGTGTGGCGTGTGGGGCCAATTGGAATGGAAGGAGATCTGGAGCACTCTAGTCTAGAAAGCCGAGGCTGAGGTCATCATTTCCTCAATACATTCCGTTTCCTTTACCGCAACGCCCTAGATATTATTGTTTTTACAAACTTTGCCGAAATGAGAGCTGGCATACGATTGTTAGCGACTGCGACTGATGCAGGTGCATCGAGACCCTTCAAGCCGGCGCCTGCGGCTTTGTTGCCGCCAATACCGCTCTACCGGCGTCTGCTAAGGTCACATCGAAAGAGGCTAGGCCCAGAGGAACGCCTGCTGGGTGACATGTATGTGAAGGCTGAGTTCAGAGCTCACAGGGACGTTGAGAACCCCGTACAAATTGTGAGTGAAGCCATCTTCACAAAAGGCGCACCACAATGCCAGCGAGCTAACAATCACAGATCGGCTTTTTGTCGGAGTGGCAAACATACTGCCAGATGCTTGAAGGAGATTCATGGAAAGACGCAAAGATGGATAAAGCAAAGATTGATAAAATGAGCGGCATGTACTAGCCTTCTCTACATGAGGCACTCCTAACTGAATCTTAGATCAACAAATCGGCCAGCTGTATGAGCTAATGCAGCAGATTAAGAACCAGGCGCAGGAAGACGCTGATGCCGAAGACGTGAGAGTAGTGGAAATGCTTGACAAGAAGCCCCCAACGGACCAGTGATTGCGAAATATTGAATTAAGCCACGCATCAACCATTCCGAGACAAACGCTAGAGACTTCACGCCTCAAAACGGGGACGTAAACAATACGCAATCTTGCTCCGTTTTCTCGCATCTAGAGAGATGCATTATATATCAGCAATATCATTACAGTATCCGACACTTCTGCGTCCGTTCCTGCCATCGCTCCTTCACTGCTATCCGGGGGCGCCAACGATATCACTGTCTCGAGGCCCAATTCATTGCCTACATGAATGACTGCTAGAGTTTGTATATCCGTACAGCATCTTGCCTGATCTCGAAGAAGTATCTGCGCATACAAACTCAACCCAGTATCACCAAAAGGTTTTTTCAGACATCGAACTTGGAGATATATAGGATGTGTGGATGTACCCTCTATGACTCGCCGACATGCGGTCACTCCTGGCTTTCTATGAGTCAGCCTTGTGGCTTTCTCTCCGACTTCCTCAATTGTCCCTATCGCCAGACTTACCAGACTCTGATTGCACCACCGTACACATGTCCAACGTGCAATGGTGGTTTTGCAGACCAAGAAACGATCGAAATGGTCCAGGGCCCTTGGGGCTGTAATCAGTTACTTCGAAACCATGTTGGGGGCAATCATGCAATTCCAGGCCAGTGGGGTAATGTTCAACTGGCTCTAAGTGGACCAGGAAGCGCTGCGATTAGTTGCGTTGCAACGGCTGGCAGTGCGTCTCACCTAAATAGCATGAACCGAGGCTTCACATACGATCATAGGCTTACAGGGCCATATGGACCAGCAATCATTCCGAATAGACCGAGACATTACGACAATGGGTATTATGTGGATGGCAGTCGCAAGAAAAGCAGGCACAAAAGTCATTACAAGTATAAGTACACCGACAAGCCTGCAACAAACTGCACAGTTATGTGAGGGGCTTCTACAGCAGAGGATGAGGGCACAGGCTTATTTGGAGAGTCATCATTAACCAGCTCAGCTCAGCGAAATGGGTCCTGCATTGGTGCGCAGAAGCAGATTTGGAGCAGCGGCCATCTAGGCGGGAATGTTAGTTAGATTTCAACGGCAAGCACATATAAAAACCAATATCTCCTGCAAAAAAAATTCTCTTCATCGCAAAGATTATCTTGATCTGAAATAGCCACAATGGGTTGGTGGTGGTATCGTGACCCGAAGGCGGTCGATGCTGGGAGCCGCGCTAAGAGTTGCTAGCGCGGTTTTCTACTCGCTAAACACCACAGTGGAAATTCGTGGCTCAGAACCTCAGCTCTTCGACAATACCACACAGCCAAATCGACATCCACAACCGTCGCCATGGCCAGTACGTTGACGAAGCCTCGCGATGGAGCGTACGACAAGACTAACACAGCTGCGCAGAATCCAAGAACTCGTCTCAGCACAACCAGTCCAAGAAGAACCACCGAAACGGGTACGCATCCCTTACCACGGTTGCACGCGCGCCATAATCCCCCCAGATGGTCCATCCATGTCGTTGGATCGAACGCTTGTCGATGAATGAATCTGAGAGCAACGACTGATTGATTGCAATACAGTATCAAGAAGCCTAAGACCCACCGTTACCCTTCGCTCAAGGGAACCGACCCCAAGTTCAGGAGGAACCACAGGCATGCGCTTCACGGCACCATGCGCGCTCTGGTGCGTAGCAACAATGCACTTTCCGAGGTCAGCTTCGGCCTGCTAACACCTGCACAGAAGGAGGTTAAGGAGGGCAAGCGCGAGAGCGCATAAAGGCCGATACGACTACGAGCGAGCGACGATGGCGGTTTTCGATTCCTTTATGAGACATCTGGTCGGCGTCAATGGCATTCGGACTTTCTTTGACAGCTTCGAACTCAAGGGATGGAAGCATGTGGCTTCACGCCTACCGCAGGCATGAACAATGAATAAGTCGAAAAGTCAGCTCGGTTCTCCCAGCGCACGCCTATCCATGTGATGTGTTACATTGGCCGACTCCTGGACAACGTAAAGCCAGGTAAGTGAGATGAGTGACCGAGGTGCAAACCTCAACCCAGCCATTAGTGTGTACAGCAACAGAGCTCTTCAATGCTCGACCTGCTGAAGGAAAATTATCGTGGCAAGAACAACTTACCCCATCATTACCAAACACACTGCCTTTGACCCGTAGGGCACGTGTGCATGAAGATGGGGTTACATTTTTCTTATGGTTCAGAACAGCTTTTACAAGTAAAACGGTACCGAGAGGTAGCGTATGAAGACTGAATATTAATATGAAACATGATTTACTTTCTGACCCTCTGGCATTGCTTGTTGAGGTGACGATTTTCCAAGCGCGTGTATTGCCGAACAGGTGGGGCAGCCGAGTGACCTCAACATCTACTCTTCTTCCCACATCCTCCCATCCCGCCATCCTTCCGTCCCTGCTGACCCTCTAGAGTCGATGCAAGAGCGTCAAGACTGCATACCAACAAGAATACGTTCCTCACGCTCTTGCACGTCTCACCGCAGAGGTAGGTCAGCCGAGTCCGTTCCGGTTCCCGGTCTGGTTGCACAGCCCTCTTGCAGCTCGATTAGCTGGCACCCGTCTCGTATCTTTGGATCTCGCCGTCATACCTTGCTTCTTTCTATCGCGAATAAAGTTGAAGCCTGTTCATGCTCTCACTTTTGCTATTATTCTCTTACAAATAGCCTACCTCTTATTCCTACGCCCGCTCTTACGTCACGCCTTCCAAACAGCCTACACCATGGCGACTCAAGCCCACTGCGCATACTGCTTTGAAAGCCTGGTTGCGAGCCTCGAGAAGCGGCCTGCCCTGAGTCTGGCCCAGACCGAAGTCATGTGGAGAAAATTCAACGCTGGGATAGAAGATGGATCTGTTGAAGCAGCAGGCGCATCGTTGAAGCCTGCTGCTATATCACGCATCCTGGCCTCGCCATCTTCATCAAGCAGCTCTTCAAGTCTGCCAAGTGCGAGTTCTACACCTAGTGGAGCTAGCGGCAGTGAAACAAACAGCAGCATGACAAGCCAAAACAGTAGCACAACCAACCTAGATGATAAGACGACGAGACAAGAACAAGAATCAGACTACGACGAGGATGAGGAAGAGGAACACCCTTTATTTGTAACCTGGAACACCATCTCACCAGGAAGTCAGGAAAGGCGACTTCGCGGCTGCATCGGCACTTTTGAGCCCCTCCCCCTCTCCACAGGCCTCTCCTCATACGCCCTCACCTCTGCCTTTGACGACACGCGCTTCCCGCCCATCACCAAGCAGGAACTCCCATCTCTCGAGTGCGCAGTCACGCTCCTCACGCATTTTGAGCCCGTCGACGACCCCATGGATTGGGAGGTTGGTATCCACGGCCTGCGCATCAGTTTCACGGACAAGGGCCGTCGCTACGGCAGCACCTACTTGCCTGATGTGGCGCGCGAGCAAGGGTGGAGCAAGGAGGAAACGATTGTTAGTCTGATGCGCAAGGCGGGGTGGGGTGGCCGCAAGAGCGAGTGGAGGGCTGTCAAGATCAAGGTTGTGCGGTATCAGGGGAAGAAGGTTAGTCTTGCGTGGGATGAGTGGAAGGCGTGGCGGGATAAGGTCACTGAGTAGATGAAGTATGCTCGTTAATCGGGGGGTTAATGAGTTCAGAGAGAGTTTTAATGCAGTAGTAGTATTGGTTTCATGAACTTTTGATTTTTTATTCTTTTTTGCTTGAACAATTATCTCTTCTCTAGGATTTCATACTTCTTTCCCCTTTTCTTTCTCTTTTCGGCGTTTACATAGAGATGCCATCCTCCATGCATATACATTTCTAGATCATATGGCTCTGGTAACTATATGCCGGGTTGTGGATAGAAACGGTATTTAAATTACACGACGAGTATCAACCGAGTTGGGCGGCGGAACATGCCGATACGGATGCAAAAAAAACAAAAAACTAAAGACTAAATAGAGTTATGTGTGGTTCCAAGTATCCCTGTGCCTGTTCGACATCGGCATGTGATGGAATAACGGTAGGATCCCGCCTTTTGTTTCTTTTTCTGTTTTTTTAAAAAAAGGAACCCCTTCAATAGCGGAATGTATGCACATGTGGTCTCGTTACGAGGGGAAAAAAGCAATACTGGAAAGGGAAACGTTATTTTATCGGCATGACAAGTGATGTGATATCCTTCGTGTCACACCGCCACAGAACATTCACATTTTACAATCACAAGTGCACAATGTGATTGGATTATTATCATTTTTATTAATTCTCTGCGCCTTCATTTCGTTACCCGCATCCCCCTGATTCAAAAAAGGGGTGCTAGGGGTATCATTATGCCAAAAATATCCATCCAAATGCTGCAGCCACTACCAATAGAACGGCCGTTAAACTCTTCTTTTCCCTTGTCCATGCTCTACATCATTCACGCACATCTACATGACGTAGAGGAGGTCCGTGTCTGTTGTACCAGTCAGCATGTCTCCTCGATTAACCGTCAGGCCTACAAGACCTACTAAGTGGATGACTGCAGCTTAGTTGGGGTTTCTGTTGGTATTTGCCCTCGAGCTCGTCACGGATGCTGTTGAGCAGCTGTACATAGCTCTGGTTGGGGTTCTTGCGCAGTGAAGTAATAAAGGCCCATGACATGGCTCCGGTGGCCTCACCGCCAATGCTTGCATCGGCTCTGTTTGTTCAAGTCAGTATTCCGTGTTATGTACTCATTGTGATGGCACGAAACTTACGAAGTTTGGGTATCCTTGGATCCACTCCACATGATGACATCAGCGGGACTGGTCTTTGTCCTCAGGTTCTTTTTGTACACCTCGTCACCATTAATCGCCTTCTTGAACAAACTGGTAGCGCCGCCAATCATGCTGCCAATATCACCACGCGCATAACTCGATACAATGCCAAGCAATCCCTGGCCGGCTTCCTTGGCCAGGTTTGGCTCCTTGAGCACACCCTGGGTGGAGTAAATGTATGGGAGGTCGAGGGCGGAACCAGAGTGGCAGGAATCGAAAATGGCGGTCAGTCGGACTCCGGGTTGGAGAGGCGCAACCATGATACGGTGCATCTCGTCATCAACAATGTGGCCAGCAGTGCGGAAGTCCACTGGGTAAATCACTTCATCGTAGCCGTCGTCCTCATCACCGTCAAGGTCCTTTGTTTGACCGCCGTGGCCTGCATGAATGTTAGTATGTTGTGGTTGGATTTGCCAAGTTCAGCGCAGCGCACCTGAGTAGTGGAAAAACAAGGAATCGTTTGGCCGTGCGTCCTTGACCAACCAGTGCATCGCTCGTAGAATGTTTGCCTTGGTCGGCTGGCTCATAGGGTTTTGCTGGTCGTCGGTCAAGGTGACCATGTCCTCTCGCTTGTATCCGAAGAACTCGTTCAAGTATGTGCTCATATTCTTAACATCGTTGATGCATCCTCGAAGCTGGCCTCGCTGGCCAAAGTAGTTGATACCAATCAACAGCGCTTTCCGCCGACCGTTGCATGCCGAGTATTGGAACGAGTAACCGTTGGGCGCGCCGTGGCCGAAGTTCTGAGCGCCGCTGGGCGGTGGGGGAGGAGCAGAATGGTTTCCATGTGTCCATTGATTGCTGTTGACTGTGGGCATCATGCCTGTGTGCGACTGTCAGTTCTACCGTCTTGGTCCGGGTAGACTGGGAACTTGCCTGGCCGTGGAGGCTGCTGCGGAGGCTGTTGCTGGGGTGGACCTCCATAGTTTCCGTACTGCTGTGGTGGTGGTCCCTGTGCTTGTCAGCCTGTTTCTTCGGTTTCAATCTCAATATCCAATTTCCAAAATCCACTATGACTTTTGGTGTCTTCTCGACCAAGTGCTGTGCGTACCTGGTTGTACCCGTATTGCTGTGGCGGAGGAGTAGGCTGTCCATAGTTGTTGTATCCTCCGTACTGCTGTGGAGGCCTGAAATACGTCAGCGGGTTGTCGAAGAGCAGCCAGTTGGTGTCCACTCACGGAGGGCCGCCGTAGTTCTGCTGTGGCGGTGGATATCCTTGCGGGGGAGGTCCGCCATAGCCACCTTGAGGCGGAGGTGCGCCGTAGCCACCACCGCCGCCGCCGCCGTGATACTGCTGTCCGGGATAATACGACATGTCGAACTAAGAGGTGGTGGAGAGTGGAAGTCTGGCGTGTCGCAGTTTTGGCGGAGCGATCGTCGAGGAAATACCCGATTGGGGGGGATGGTGGTCAATGGTTAAAGAGGGATCGCCGCGGTGGGGGATGCTAGGTTGAGTGGGAAATGAAGAGGGTAGGGTGAGCCAGAGAAAGTCGCAGGATGCAAGGTGGTGTGCGGCTGACGGTTCGGTCGGCAGATGATCTTTGGAGTGGATACGTAGGGTAGCGCGGGGCGGCGGGCTTGGTCTTTTGCTGGTACGAACACAGTAGCAGTGGGTAGGGATGAATGGCTGGGTAAGGCCTGAGCTCTGACCAGCACCGACCCGAATTATTAACAAGCTTCCAAACCCCCTGGGCCAACTCGAGACACCAACACACACATGTATCTTGGCGGCTTAACTTCGATGAAGAAGCCGAGGGGGAGGCGGCAGGAGGAGCAGGAGGAGCAGGATGAGGAAGAGCAAGGAACAAGGAGCAACAAGCAACAAACATATACTACCACGCCGCGACCATCGCCTGACGAGCACGATTTCGGCACAGGGACATGAATACCACAGCCACCCGACGACATGCAGTGGGCCCACGGCGCTTCCTCCCCTGGTGCACGATGCGGCTTGACTTGCATGCCGCTATCTCCAGTCCCATCTACCTGCAGTAACTAACCATGTCCCAAGCATCTACTCCAACCTCGATCCGCCAGAGCAACCGAAACAAGCGCAGCTAACGACTTGCAACGTTTCGCTGTCAATTGGCGTACCTACCTCGTATTTCTTCTACCATTCTTATCTCTGCCTCCAACGCTGGTAGACTAGGTAGACCATGTCCAAGTCAGGTCCAACGTCCCGTTCCTCGACCGAAAAACACCTTCAATCCAGCGCGATCCTACGTGTCTGTCACCATCTGCAAGTCCATGCCCCAGTGCCGTGTCTCATCGGACCTCTGCGCTGCCATTTGTCCACTATCACGCTCTGCTTAATTTACACTCGTGGGGTGTGTGTGCATTGGGCCGCTGTCAAGCCTCCTCGTGGCTTGACGTCGTGGCACAAGGCGGAGCAGACGGCATCGCCGAAGAGCTCGAAGCGAGCCTTCCGTGAGAACGGTTCTGGAGAGCCGGGGGGTGGGTTGTGTTGCTTAATGTTTACCGACTCAGTGGGTAGCACGCAACTGCGAGTGTTACTGTGGACATCGAGTCGTGTTCTTTACCAAAGCACCCAAACTTTCCTACGCCTTCTCGCAACCCTCCCCCTCCCATCAAATCCCCTTCCGCCCACAAAACCTCTCAATTTCCATCGGCCCTTCTTTCCTCTCGTCCCTCGCCCTACAGCCATGTCTGTTTCCGCTCGCCTATTTCCGCCCCCCCTTTAGTCGATTCCAAACCTCCGTAGCGACGCTGCTGACAACCCCCCTGTCCCTGCTACATTTCCATTTCCGCTTACAGATACCCGCATACACAATACACCCTTTCCAACTCAGCTCCAGTTCCCAATCCGTCCACAACACCCCATGCCAACTCACCTTTTTTATCCAGCCCTTTCGCAAACACACGCTCTCGTACGGCCGAATCCAACTGCCGCACACCCTTCCTGCACTCTAGCTCCATCCAGAAAACCTCTTCTAGGACGGCGCTAAAAGGGTCCAGCCCGTCTGGTGGCTTGCGCTGCCTGTTCCACGCCAACGGCGAGGACCGAGGGCTCGGACGCGTTTGATTGGGACGTTTTTTCTTGCCCTGTACGAGTTCGTCCCCCGTGGGTGCATGGTGCCTCTGTTTGAACCATCGTAGCTGAATGATTAGTCTTAAGCTAGCATAGCCGAGCGTTGCAAGATGCCCTACTCGATGCACTTGACCGACGGCGTCGGTATGCCCTACAGCCTGCTAATGCAGTCATCCATCATTTTTAGATCATAGACATGTCAGAAGCATCTTAGGTATCACATCCAGCTGTCAAGCGCGCGGGCAGTGCCTGTAGTCGTATGGGTCTCGCAACATGGGGTATATAGTATTCGAACAAAGCTTCTCTCGTCCCTATTGGCCAATCCTCGTCCATATGAATAAACGCTCAAACCAAACAGTACGAAAAATAGATACCATAGATGCACCATCAAGTTTCCCGAGTCCGACGCAATGCTAAAAAAAACAGGAACCAAGAAGATACATGGGGTCGGCGTCTCAATTCTAACAGCTCTAACGATCATTGTACGCAATCGTTTGAGAAAAAAAAGAAAGCGGAAAAGAGAAAAGGAAGAAAGAGAAGAGAATCAAAAAGGAGAAAAAGAAGAAGAAAAGCATATCGAAACGTACAAAATCGTACATATTACATTAAAGTGTTGAGGGGCTTCAAGCCACTGAATGAGGGCGCTGTTGTCTCAAGCTCGGTCGCGACGAATGGAGAAGCCGCAAACGCCGTACTGTGCACCTTAAAGGGGTAACTGTTCATAACAAAGATTAATCATCAGTATGCACAAAGCCATGTGGTAATGGCCTTCATG